TGTGGGGTAAAACAGTCACTACACTATTACTAAGCATTTTCCAACTTGCCAACTTCTCACTTTTAATAATTATAGATATAGATATACTAAGAACACACCAAAAGATGACATGTGTCATTGCTGGTGTGCCTTCTAATATACTTCCTCCATTCTTATATTATTGCACCACTTGCCTTTTTAGGAAGTTTCACAAATATTCCACAATTTCCTCTTTAGGAAAAAAAATTATTTGTGTTCACACTACAAATACCTAACATACCCTTGCTTTTTCACACTTACTTTTTAGTTTATCAATATGTCACATGGGCAATTATGCATTTTTAACTTTCACTCTCTTACTTTGCTCCACTATCAAAATATTTGTACCCAATCCCTATAGTGCAATAAAAAAAGAACGGAGAAAGTATAGTTATTGATTGATTGATTAGACTAATATCTACATGGAGGGCCGCATACCAAAAAAAAATTAATTAAAAAAAAAAAATCGCCACATGTCCATTTCGAATACGACACTATTCGTCGATGAATTTGGTCTAGCTTTGTGTTAGTTAACTCACCATACCTTTTCTCCGAAAGCCTCTGCTCTGAAACCCTAATCTCACTTTCACCCCCAAAATGCCGCACGGCGGCTATGGCAAACGCCGAGTTGCCGAACGGAAGCCCAGCAGGAGTCATCGTTCCAAGGCTGTTGGAGGTGTTGCCAAGAAACCCAAGGCCACTTCTCTTAAAAATCAAATTCGTTCCATTGAGCGTATGCTCCGCAAGGTATTCTTTTCTTCACTCTCGTTCTTCTGTAATTTGATTTCTTTTTTTTCTTAATTTTTTTTTTTTTGGTTTTTTAGGCTACAATTTGAGTGGTTTTTGATGTTTTGTTTTTTGAAATGTATATTATGCTATTACTATACATTTTGATTTATGCATTTTGCCTTACTTTAAAGTATTTGGTTGTCAATTTAGTTCTATAAGTTGTTGGTAATGAAACTAATGCTATCTGATTGATAATTGTTCAGTAGTCGAGTTTAGTTTGATAATAGAAATCGAGCTTATCCGGTTTATGTGTTGAAATTGAGCTACTTAGTTAATTTATTATTCAGGAATCGAGTTTTGCTTCATTTGGTGAGTGAAGAAACTTTATGCATTTTGACCTAATGACTTAATTAAGAATTATTCGGAAGTCCGGTTAGTTTCATAGAAATAGGAGTAAATTTTTATGAAACCAAGTAATAGTACCATGTATTAATGGACATTTTGTCCATGAGAACTTACGGCGAGATTACAGAAGGACAAAAGTTTTCTCAAACTTGTTTTACGCCCAAAGGCACTACACTAATTCCCATCCCTCTTAACATGCAACCAAGAGATAAATCAAAAGCATAGCTAAGAGAAAAAACACATGTAAAATAGAATCCAAGTCAGTAAGGTAGGAGGACATAATTTTATAGGTATTGCAAGTATGTACATGCAGTAGTCATTGAGAGGTGTTGAATAAATATATTTTCATCTAATTTATTTTGTTGGTCTCATTGTGAAGGATCTTCCACCTGAAATGAAGGCTGCTCAAGAGAAGAAGCTAGAAGGGCTGAAGAAGCAGCAGGACCTTCACACTCGGTTGGCTGTAGAGCGTAAAGTTTTCCTTCGAGATAGGAAGATCAAATTCTTCGGTATTTATTTTTTATTTTTTTATCTTTGTTCCTCTCTATTTTAGGCAAAATTTAGTCGTTTATGGCTGTCAAATTTTGGTTTTTAGAGAGGAGAAAGATAGAGAGAAGATTGAGGCGTTTGGAGAAGAATCTACGCTCATCTTCTGGTCAAGTACAAGAGAAAGAGATAGCTCAGTTGAAAGAAGATCTGGAATACGTTCGGGTAAGCAGTGTATGAAGTACGTGTTACTGTCGTAAGTAGCTGTAATATGTGTAGGATGACTGCAGTTTGGGCTAATGTATGGAAGTTGACATTTCAACTCATTAGGTTGGCCATAACTTTTGACAGAGATAATTGTTTTTTTATTACATAACTGAAGCTAGTATCATAGGGATCGGTAGAGTTTGCTAATCCATCCTTTGCCAATCCATCCCATTTTTACTTTGTATTCTCTGGTGTTCATAATATATCGTGATTTGGGTTCTATTTAGAATTTATTAAGGTTAATTACTACCTCAGAAGGCTAGGTAGCACAAATAGCCACTACCATGTCCTGAACAATTGTACATGAACACCAATAAAACTATAGTGAAGATTTGGTACCTCAAGTCTGAAGTTCCCTAGTGACTTTAGTCTATCTAGTGAAGAAAGAACAATCACGGATTCGTCTTGAATTACCTTTTATACTTGAGAGTCATGCCTCTGTTTTTTTTTCCCCTCAAATTTTTACTCTAGAAAATGCTCTTTTGAATCCTATTTTATGTACTATATTTTGATTCCAGCTGAACTGTCTTGCACCTCATTGCTTGTTAGTTTCTGATGTCCAGGGAAAAACAATATCACCCTGTTTCTTCTTACCTAAGTACGGTATTAATTATTTGTGAGTAGAGTAAAAGGTGCTTTTGGTATTGCTTAATCTTGTCTATTGTACTATAAAAATCATTTTCTAACACTTGAATCTAGTCTTTAATTTAGAAAATAAAGGTTCATTGGAATAAATGAAAGACATTATTTATGTTTGACGATGAAAAGATGTATTGTTGTGGGAACAAAAAAACACTTGCCCTTATTCATTTAATCTATTGCTACCTCCGTTTCATATTATTTGCAGCAATTAGACATTTTTCCTCTCTAATTTAGTATGATGTTATTTTAAGCTTTTGCATTATTGCTAATTTAGTAATGGCTTGCATGCTGGGTAAAAAGCCCACACCTTGATATCAACATAGATTCTGCATATGACAAAATTGTCTTGCTCTTTAGTTGTATTATATTTTAGCTATTTTGAATAGCTCTAGAAATGTCAGTTTTGTAGTTGTCTATACTTTCTTTTGTTTCTCACTAATTGAGCTACTTCATTGTGTTGCAGTTTTTCCCCAAGACAGAAAAATATGTGTCATTATTTACCGGAGATGAAAATTCAGACATAGTAGATAAAAGGAATAGATTGCGGAAGCAGATTAAAGCTAACATAATTGCTGCTGCAGCCAGTGGAAAGGACTTGGAAGGTATCCCCCTTTTCTATAAACTGAAGAAGTCAATGCTAATTCTTCTCATTTGTTATCCTAGATTTGGATTTTGGAACATGGGAAGTCATTTTCCATGGTCATTTGCTATAAGTTTATCTCAGCTGGTTTGTTAAATATAGCACAAAGTCATATTATGTTGGTTAACATGAGGCTTTCATGGCTGGTGCTTATTGGAAAAGGAAGGAGAAAAAAGTTCTATATAGGATGTCCTATTCAGTATCACATTTTAAGTGAATTTGAACTAACCGCATGTCAGCTATGGTAAAAATGAAATGTAGACTAACGTTAATGAGAACTTTATGAACCAATGAGAATTGATTCACCATACAGTAAAAGTTATTATGGTGGATATGATCTTTCAATGTATAATTGTACTGTTCTCATTTAACATGAGTGGCTGTTGTTGCTTGTTCCCTTGCCCTTGGACATGTTTCTTGCTTCCATACTGTAAGTGTAGACTTGAATTGGTGGAGCAAGTATCAGCTCCATCACTGTATGGATTATTTTTAACAATAGGCTCGTGGAAGATAGTATTTATTTATTTATTTTTAAGCACGATTTCAAAATCAATAAAGCTTACAATATCCCTGAACTAATTGCCCCTTGGTTGTCTATTTGCTCCCCTTTTTTACATTATTGTTGGGAGCAAATTTGAACTTCTTTTAGATCCAATCCCTTTTTTTTTATTTTTTTTATGTGGTTCTTAATAAGATTCCTTTGCTAACGAGTTCCAAAAGTGAGTTTAGTTTTCTGTAAGTTTGGTTAGAGTGATTTTATCCTGCTGTAGTAAATAGTAATCACCTGTGTTGGAAAAGAGTGGCAGTTAAGCTTATTCTGTAATACTAGCACATTTAAGATTTCAACACATACTTGTCCAATTACAGTTTCACTGAATTTCAAGTATGCTTGTCTGATGCCTCTTTCCTTCAATATTTGGGTTCTCAGTCAGCGCATTGTCTAATGTGTGAAGTATGAGAATTGTGTTAACTCAAACTTATACCGTATTTTGTTTGTTTGCAGAGACAGGAAGTGAGGATGATGGGATAGCTGATCTCAGTGATGATGATTTCTTTGTATCAGGGACTTCAAGTGATGAAGCAGATGCAGATGATGAGTTAACAGATTTAAGTGCGAGGTGGCCCATCTCTCCCCTCCTCCTGAGGCTTCTGTTTTCATTTCTAATTATATTGAGGATGCAGAATGATTGTAATGGCATTAAAATTTTTGAAGCTCATGAAAGCATATTAATAAACAATTAATATTTTGGCTCCATTTGTCTAAATCCTTGGCCTATTTTAATCGCAAAACTTGTCTGATGTTGTTAGGGAACAAGCTTCTAGTGCTTCTGGACATTCTGGTAAAGCTGCATCTGGCTTATCCAGTGATGAGAGGAATCAGGTATGTGCTTGTCCATTTGGTATATATGCTTTGAGAGAATTTAATTTACTAAATTGCTGTACTTGGTTGATGCAGAAACAAAAGTCGGCTCGATGTTTAATGCCACCTCCTCGTCCTCAGAAATCTATAACACGGAGGAATATCACACCCAGGAACACATCAAACCATCGAAACTTTAATTCTTATAACAGAGAATCCTCTAATTCACAAACAGGCCAGAGTAGCAACATGAGTTCCAATTCTGATGCTCACAAACCACGGAGAAAGCGTAGACCTAAGAAGAAAAAGCAGTAGGTTTCCGTTCTTGCTTTCAGCTTGGTTATATGTTGAAACATTTATTACTGAACAAAAGAACCCAAAGAGATCTTACATGAAAGTAATGTTGAAACACTTATGTGTTGAAGAAGCAACTCAAGGGAGGTCTTACGTGAAATGAATAGCCTGGTGTTACGTGCTGTGATAATTAAGAATATGGAAAATGTTTAGTATGAGATGCTAAAAAGCAGTCAAAAACACTCGAATTTTAATACTCTGTAGAAAATTTCTCGGTTATGTAGTTACGAGCTTTTAGATACTATGAGGATTGCTTGCTATCAAGTAGTATTACTTAATTGATTGTTTTTTTGGCCATTAGTATTTGATCTTATAGTGGCCATGAAAATTGTGTAACCTCACACCAAGTTACTAGCAGAAATTTGACGAGTAGACAAAATATTTACGTACATAAGTAGTAGATTGGGTACTCAAAAACAATAGTTACAAGTCTTTTTTATTTGGAAAATTTGTGTAGAAGGGATTTATATCTTCACTCTTTTGTCAGGAAGGACCTTATATGTTCAAAGTTGTCTAAAAGGACCTTATAAGCATGTTTTGTTGTCTAGAGGGACCTTGACGCTGGATTTCGGCGTTTGACTTTTTTAATCCGGCGTTAACCAGTCACATGATTATCACGTGACTTTAAAATTCTCCCTCTTATTTTTTTCCCTTTTCCCTCCAATTCACATTCTCTCTCTTTTGTTCCCCCTAAATTTTTCCCCAAATTGTTTCTCTCTCATCACGCAACAAGCTGGCTAACTCTGATTTCAGAAATACAAGCAAGCAGCGTTCGATTAAGTCCTTTTCGCTTCAAGTCCTTTTCGCATCAGGTGAGAACAATTCTTACGTTTTTTTTCCAATCCCATTGTTTTAAGCCTAAGTTTAGTTGTTTGGAAATTAGGGTTTATAACTCAATTGTTCTGAAATCATGTTTTTTTGGTTGTTGAAGGATCTTTCGACTAAAAGGAAGTTATCAAAGTGCAATTGTGGTCTTCCTCTTGCGCAAAGGACTTCATTGACTCATGAAAATCCAGGTAGAAGGTTTAAAGCTTGCGAATTTAATAATTTCGAGACATGTGAGAAGGGTTGTGACTACTTTGAATGGGTTGTTGATGAAGATATTTTAGAGTGGCAGAAGGATGTAACTAATGTTCTACTATCTGAAAAACAAAGATTGGCTACATATATGAATGTTTTGCAGGCTAAGGTGGCTTGTATGGAAAATGAGAGGAGAAGGTTGATTGATGAACATGAAACTTGAAGAACAAGATGATGAGGAGTAAGGAAGGTGTACATAAACTCTGATGAGGAAAATTTAGGGGAAAAATTTAGGGGAACAGAAGAGAGAGAATGTGAATTGGAGGGAAAAGGGAAAAAAATAAAAGGGAGGGTGATTTTTTTTAAGTCACGTGATAGTCATGGACTGGTCAACGCCGGAGTAAAAAAGTCAAACACCGGAATTCGGCGTCAAGGTCCCTCTAGACAACAAAACATACTTATAAGGTCCTTTTCCACCACTTTGAACATATAAGGTCCTTCTAGACAAAAGAGTGAAAATATAAATCCCTTCCAGACAAATTTTCCTTTTTTATTAGGTACAACAGGTAATAATTCAAGTAAAATGTATTTAATTACATAACAAACAACTTAGGGTTTGTTTAACATTGCTGTGGTTTTCTGTTTTTAGGTTTTTTGTTGTACAAAAGTATATGATATATGTCACATAATGAATCAAAAATTATTTAAACTTATAAAAATCATAATAATTTTGAAAACTGACAACAAAAAAAGTGAAATCACCTTTTTCTTGTTTTACGTTTTTGGTTTTTAGTTTTCAAAAAAACAGGAAACTGAAAACCAAAATTGATGCCAAACAAACCTTTAGTTATAAAGAATATATTGTGCTTGTATAATTAACAAACAATTGATAATAAATATATTGTTAACAATTTACATATTTCCTACCATCTTACATGATCAATTTTCCACAAAAATCAAAATTGAATTGGAAAAATTGATTTCAATGGTCCTAACTTTTGGTCTTCCGCTAAAAATAGTCTCATCTTTGATTATCCCATAATGGACTCAACTTTTGGAAAATTCTTTCCAAAATGGTCCTAAACCTCAAATGACCAGGTTAATCAGTTACTAATGTCATGTGTTGCAATTATGTTGATTTTTTTTAATAAAAAAATAAAAACGAGAAACTCTTATTTCATATTGGGGGTCGAGGAATAAAAAAATCTAGAAGGTGGTGGTCATGGTAGGCTTGGTAGCTTTACAAGATAGGGTGGTGGGTGATTTATGATCATAAGAGAAAGCCAAAATGAGGTGATTTGATTGTGGACAGGAAGGTGGATAAAGGGATCAATGATTAAGGGGTGTATGGGAGGCAATTAGACTTAAGGGTGGCTTGGTAGGTTTAGTGGTGAAAAAGGGTGAAGGTGGGGTAAAGATAGAGTGGTAAAAGTTATATATATATATATATATATATATATATATATATATATATATATATATATATATATATATATATATATATATTAACATGACACTCTTAATTCATTAGTTATAAGAAGTTAACGACCATTTTGGGAAGAATCCATAAAAGTTGGACCCATTATACGATATTCAAAAGGTAGATTGTTTATGGTGGGTGGCTAAAAGTTGGGCTTGTTAAAATCATTATTTCAATTGAATTTCATTGTTTTGTTAAGAAACATTTCTTCACCACATCATATAACTAATATATAAAGCTAAACTATTAATAGTCAGGTCACGAGGCAACGACACTTGGCGTTCCAACTTTTCGCCAAGTGTCGCGCCACATTGGGTAGATTTAAATAGATTTCGTAAGATAAAAAGTTGGTTTAGAATTCTATTTGGATACAATTTTCGAATAAAATTGTTAGGTTAGAGTTTTAGTTTTGATAAAATACCAATATTTCAGATGTACAAATTGAATTTTAATTTTATTCAAAAAAAAATTATTAGATTATAATTTTCAACAATTATCAATAAATTTATTTTTTTATATCATAATATTTTTCTGGTGCGAAAGAAGTAGTTCTAAGCGTAAAACATACATTTATAATACATACTAATCGGTTAAAATAATATACTTTACGATTTAATACTTCCTTTTTTTTTTTTTTTTTTTTTTTTTTTTTTTTTTTTTTAAGTTGACACCTTTCCATTATTATGCTTACCAACATAGAAATACATGTCTCAGGACTGGAGGCATATATCCAAATTCAGTGAGAGGGAAGAAAGTCAGCAACTCTCTCATCAGTTTTGTCCAAAAGATGAGTACACTTGTCTCAAGACCGAGGGCACGTGACTACATAGGTGCGACATCGTCTCGTCGCTTCTTTATACAGGGGGTGGATTCGACACCCTAACTGTCCGGTAAGTTAGTAAGCGCACTAACTACCGTATCCATTCAAGAAGTGCCTGTTCCTGAAGGTTCGGCGCGCATGTCGACTCGTTGAGCTAACGCCTACAGTAATCCTCTACCTTTTAGTCCCGAGAGGTAGATCTTGCAAAGCTTAAGCTGAGTGAAATTTTAGGCATCACCTACGCCGTACAATTTTGCGTTGTACGATACGCCATTTGCATTTTTACGCTGCATGAAAACGCCTTCCTTTTTGCTTCGGACGTGAAAAAAGAAGAAAACCCGGACATTTGTAACGTTAGTACAGTAAAATGACAAACCTATCTATGGGTGCTTTTATGTAAAGCACCACCACGGAACATCTTAAGGCTCTCTTATAAAAAACGTTCAAAACGTATGCTTGGGGAAGGCACAAAGCACGGTGTGCATGCAATATGATGCAAAAAACTAACAAAAAAGAAAACAAACTACAAAATGCAAAGCAATTAAAAAAAGATTTTGATAATTTGTGCGCCATTACGTCTAATAACGAGCAAAAACCATTCAAAAATGATCAAACGAATCAAAATCAAAATCTCGGTCTTTTAGTGACCAGTATCTGCGCGCAACTTTGAAGGTCGCGCTGGCCAGGTGCGCGCATCTTTCTGAGTTGCGCTGGTATGTCACGCGCAACATCTGAAGTTGCGCGCGACATTTATGTCAGTAAAGTGAAAAAAACGCAGACGCGATTTTCGCTTCACTCTTTTCTCCTTCCTTCGCTATTTTCGACTCTTTCTCTCTCTAGAAAGCTCGGTTTTTGGAGATTTTTGAAGCTAATCTAATTCATATTTGCCGTAATCCAATGTAAGTTTTTTGCTAAAATTTTCTCTTTTTCGACTGAATTCGAACGTTTTTTTGAATCGTTAAACCCCAAATTTCGAATTTGGGGGTTTTCGATTCGACTTATTTTTCTTGAAATTGTTTGCTCTATGTTGTTATGCTATGTTTAAGGAGTGTTTTGCAACAAATTTCATGATAAATGGTTAAGTATTGAACCTTGTATGAGCATTTCGTTGTTCAAGTTCGTTCTTTGCAATTTTTTTTTCGAATTTGGCTTGATTTTCTGTTATTACGTTTGCCCATTTTGGTTATACTTGTTAATTATGCAACAATTGTAGTATTGGAACTAGCTTTACTTCCATAATTAACATTTTGAAAATTTGGAATCCGAAAAAATGGCGCGAAGTGTATACTTAGCCTATTATTGCCATATTCGAACTCCAAAATTGATTGGTAGACGATAATTATGCTTATACTATTGTTATTCGTCTAGAATTAGTTGATTCTTTAAAATTTTGGAATATAATACCTTGAATGCTTAGTTGAAACTGGTATAAGATGACTTTTGTAGGTGCTAAAAGCCCCCATTTACTGAGTTTAACTGCAGGTATCGTAGCCCCCAAGTATGGGTGGCATTCGATTTTCGTGTTTTGCCCTATCGGTAGCCGTTATGCTGCCGAAATAGGTCTTGAATACGTATATTAGTTTAGTTTAGGAAATAAAATAAACTAATTAAAGAAATTTTATCCTTCATAGCATGGACTCGCCTCCGTTTGTCGATACTGAGGAGGTTCTCGTTGGTCCGGACGAGGCGATTCGCCCTCAGAAGAGGGTGACTCGTCCTCGAGAGGAGGTTCGAGAGCGACGCGTCGCGACTGATCGATGTTGCTAGGAGGAGGTGATTTGGGAGGCTCCTCCCAACTAGGACCCTAGGGTCCTTAAATGGGACCTAGATCACCACGTTTCGATCCGTGGGTGGTGCGGCATCGTGAGTTTCCCACGCTTTTTCTTCTTTCTCTTTTCTTTTGTTTCTTCTCCTTTTTAAACCTTAACCGTTTTTTTTATTTAGAGTTAGCCTGGCATGCGTTTGTACGACTCTGGTGACCTGCGAGCCCGTTTTGAGAGTTTGCCCGAGGTGGCAAAGGAGATGGTAGCACTTTCAGGGATTGACTCCCAACTGGCGGCTCTTCGGGATTTATCGAGCCAGTCTACATTGTCAGCTTTCCTCCGTGGATTGCTAGAGTTTTGGTGGGATTCCCACCCCTTGGTTGGTTTTGGGGGTGGGATGGTCTACCCAGCCGGAAGAATTGACTTACCCATCCGGCTGGGAGAGAAGGGCCAAGGACGACATATTGTCGTCAGATTCTTAGTCGTTGAGGAGTTGACCGCCTACAACATTATCCTTGGTCGACCAACCCTCAACGTAGCCAAGGCAGTAATCATCCCGTCTCTCATGCTCATCAAGTATGAGAGGGATGACGACACTGTTGGTTCCCTAAATGGGGATCAGGAGACGACCCGAGAGTGCTATCTCTCAACCGTCAGAGATACTGTGGCCCAGGCGGCCAGGAACCAATAGACCTTGACAATGTCAAGGATGCCGACCCAGCGCCTGCCCCACCAGCAGCCGGGAAGAAAAGAAAGGCACCTCTGCCGGTGGAGGTGAAGAAAGAGAAAAAATAGCAATCACTGACCGGTGAACGGTCAGATGAGCTCCGTCCCCAACCAGCTGGTTAAAACATTGATCTCGTTCTGGATGACAGCCGTCCAGAACGTACTGTAAAGGTGGGGACGGCTGCCCATGCTACCTTGGGTGAAAGCTTGCACCTTCTGCTAAAGGAATTCAAAGACATTTTTGCCTTTGAAGTGGAAGAGATGCCAGGCGTTAGCCCGCATCTCGCTGTCCACAAACTCGCCGTGGACCCCAAAAAGAAGCCCATCCGGCAAAAGAAAAGAAACCACGGTGAGGAAAGAAGTCAGGCGGCAGCTGCCGAAGTGAAAAAGCTACTAGACGCCAGGTTCATTCGGCCTTGTAACTTCCCCGACTGGGTGGCCAATGTGGTCCTTGTTAAGAAACCGAATGGGACCTGGCGCATGTGTGTTGATTACACAGACCTCAACAAGGAGTGTCCTAAGGACAGTTACCCGCTTCCAAAGATCGACAGTCTGGTCGATTCTACAGCCGGTCACGCCTTAATGAGCTTTATGGATGCCTACTCCGGCTTCCATCGGATACCCCTGTGGAAAAAGGATCAAGAGAAGACGACCTTCGTCACGGATCAGGGGTTATTCTGTTATACTGTGATGCCGTTTGGCTTGAAAAATGCGCTTGCCACTTTCCAAAGGATGATTAATACGGTCTTCATTAA